AATAAATCCAACGGCTACGTCAATCCCTAGAACAAGAAGATTAGCTACTCATGTTCACCAAAATACAATAAAATCCTACAAAGAATTTCATAATAAAACTAGAAAAGATAAGGGAAAGGAGAGAAACTAAAGTCGTAGTGTCGATTGACCGTCCCGACTCAATCTCCACGATCACGAGCCCTCGAAAATTATCTCCTCAGCCTTCTTGCCTCAAAACTCGAGCCCCTCCTCTCCAGAATCCTTTTTCACCTCTTTTAATCCCCCCAACGGCGCACTCATCTTTCTCTTTAAGTTAGGGCATCGCTACAGCGCCATGGCGCCGTCCCAGATTTGTGACGGACGTGCAAGTTCGTAGCGCTATGGCGCTACAATACAGCGCTGCAGCGCTGCTTCTTCGGGATTTTGCTATCAATTCTGACCTGTACGCGCGCCATGGCGCTAAAGGATGGCACTGCGGCGCTGTGTGGTTTCAATAAGCTCCTCTTTTTCGCTCTAGTTTCCCTTAAATGATCGCCTATGCTTCAATTCTTTCTAATAACTTGATCCTATAAAAAACATTAGTTATGCACGTAAATAAGCCACAAATGACCGAAAATTGTTAAATAATTTCTACCTGACTATCATGAAATGTGGTGCATAAAGTATACTATCACTTACCCAAAAAATATTGGTCCTTATTTCGCATACATGTGCAAAATCATTGAACTAAGATCTTATATGGTAAACATCTTATTTTCTCGAGTACAATAATGGAGGTAGTCAGGTAGGTAAGTATGATGGACCCGTTTAGTTATATTCACGTCCACTTGTTTTTTATTTTTAAAAATTAAATTTAGAAACACTCCTCCAAAAAAAAAAGTTTTGTTTCCAAAATTTAGACTCATCATTTAAATATGGGTTTTCAAGAAAATGTGAAAACAAACCAAATATTTTTCTCCATAATAAAAAGAAATACCACAAATAAGCAGTGAGAAATGAAACGTAGTTTTGAAAAATAGAAAACAAAAAACAAAATGGTTACCGAAACATGACCTAAACATATCCTTTCTTTAGTTTTTAAAAGCTAAAGTTGTATTCTTTTTCGTTCAACAAAATGCAGAGTTGGAGGATCGAATCTTCAATTTCAAATAAGATAATAAGTAATCTTTTCACTTAGTTGAGAATATTATAAAACAAAGATGAGAGCAAAAGTCCAAATTTACAATATGTCAAAAAAAATATATATATAGTGCTCACACTTCGTGAAAGTTCAAAAATAATCGTCGAACAATACTTAGGTGGTAACTATTTTTTTTTTTAAATAAAGATCCGTCACATTTTAGTGACGACCTCGGTCTAAGCCCAAGTCTTTCCTATAAATTTGACTTTTCTCATTTACAAATGCATTACATCAGCACTGATAAAAAAGAAGTGGGTTGGGTGGTTTTGTTGGACCCGGTTTCTCGAGAGGGAGCCGGGTTGTATTTTCCTAGCGGCCGGCCAGTGGCAGCAGAAAACGAATTCGAGTAAGGCTTCGTAGGGTCCACCAACTCATCATTCTAAAAAATATAATAATTAATTATTTAATTGAATATATTTTCATTATTTTTAAATATCAGGTGGATTGATGTATATCTTTGTCTTTTTGCTTTGGTGCACGTTAAAAAATCCACCCTTTTATGGTTGGCTTTTTCTTTTTTTTTTTAATTATTATTTTTTATTTTAGGAACTACAAGTTGGAATTGAATCATTGATCGAACTAAATGACAAAATACGTTTTTCAAAAGAATAAAAATACAGTAAAGAAGTTAAGTGTAGAAATAAAAATTTATCAAAAAATAACGTTAGTTTTTTGTTAAATGATTTTTAAAATTAGCAATAACTAAAATGGCAAAGTTAAAGAATTAAGCCATATTGTTTTATAATTATTTTAGTTAGTTTGTTTGGATGTTCAATAAATTATTCTACAAGACAAATTTATTATTATTTTTTCTTCTTTACCACGTTTTCTAATTCATTAACAACGTTTTTATATAACATAATACAAAAGAAAAAAAAATTAATTGTAATTTTCTTTGACAAAATTGTGGCTGCTGGGATTCGAGCCCAGGTCTCCACGGCCACAACGTGGAATTCTCACCACTAAACTACAGCCACCATTTGAAAATATTTTCACTTTATCGTATATTTCCTCTAAAACACGTTAGGTCAAAGATTCAATATCTCCTCCCTATATTTATTATATTTAAAAATAAAAACAAAATTACGTCACATACAAATCCAATGTGCAGGTAAGTTGTTTTCATAAAATATAATATTTAAATGTTTTTCGTATTTCCTATCAGCTATTAATTTTTAGAAAAAAAAAAATTTATTTTCTTCTTTATGTGCATTCACATTTTGTCCATGAGTAAAAAATCTAAATATTATTAGAAAAATAATGACAAAAAATAACATAATACACACAAAATAATAATAATTATTATAATTGTCATTTTCTTTGTCAAAATTGTGTAACTCAATCAGGCCTCTAAGGCCACACCATGGAATTCGTCACCACTAAACTACCGTCGCTATATTAAACTATTTTCGCCTCATTGTATATTCTCTAAAAAAACACATTATAAATTTAGTGGTAGGAGGTTCAATCTCCCATCCTGACATTTGTTGTACTTAAAAAGAAAAATAAAAACCCGTCACATACAAACTCAACGTGCGGGTAAGTTGTTTTTATAAAATAAAATATTTTAATTGTTTATTGTAATTTGTATCTTCCTATCAGCTATTTATTTTTAGAAAAAAAAAACATTTTTTTTTTCCTTGATGCATTCCTCTTCTGCCAATGAGTAAAAAATCTAAATATTATTTAAAAAAAAAAGTTAGGGCAGGTAGTGGGAGAAAATTGTAATTTTCTATGATGACGTGGATGGAGAAACTTGGGAAATCCCACCACCACCACAGAAACCGACAGATCGTTTTCTAATCTCGTCAGTGAAGTGTTTGAAATTTGTGTCGGAGGAGCCACCGTGAGCCACCGCTATCGCCGCCGCGTTCTTCCGGTGCAAAGCGTTGAGTCTCAACTCCGCCGCCTTGGGGCCCTCCATGGCTTCCCTGAGGCAGCTCTGGATCTCGTCTCGGGCGACGAGTCTGTCCTCTCCGGCGCCGCGCGACAGGCGGAGGCCGACTCCGAAGACGTCGACGAGAAACTTGGCGTTGGTTACCTGATCCCCCCACTGCGGAAACGCCACCACCGGCACGCCGGAGCTCATGGCCTCCACCGACGAGTTCCACCCGCAGTGCGTCACGAAACACCCCAGCGATGGGTGCCTTAGAACTCGCTCCTGCGGACTCCATTCAACCACCTTCCCTCTCTCTCCCAATTCCTCCAAAATCTGTTTTTGTAATCAAATCATCTTTCAATTTACCATTCAAACCATATATGGTGCACTAGAACTCTTATGTTTGTTATTAGATGTCTTACCAGTTTGATTGATTAATTTTTTATGGGATACTTAATGTTGATTAAAAAAAAAAACTTGACTCTGCTCGACAACAAAAATGAATTATCAATTCTTCAGGTAAGTCCTCAAATATGGTTATTTTTTAAAAATATTTGCTCACCCCATTCAAAAATCATTATTTAAAATAAAAAAATTTACCTTTTCATTTCTCTCTCCTAATCCTTGAATATTTAAAGATGGTGAAGATAAGATTGTTTCCGCCTAATAATAATCTATTTTTTTTATGTATAGCAAAGAACTATATATTTTCAGAGTGACGCCAAATTTTACATGTGCTTTTAAATTTTAGTAAATTGAAATAAAAGAAACTGCAAAACCTTTATTTTATGTATATTTATTTATTTATTTTGGACAAAGCAAGGGGAAAGATTCTTACTTTAATGTGATAGGAAAGCAATAAACTTTTAACTTACGTTTCAAAATCTTACCTCCAATGATTAAATTACTCAGTTGATGGGATTAAGAAATATAGTTTCAACTTACCGATTAAATTACTTTAATAGGTTAAAATATTAATATATATTCATGATCTCGGGTAGTTCATATCTAATATGAACTTACTTAAATTTTATATGATTAGATGAATTTAAATTTTTGAGTTAAGTAGCGTTAAATTACTTTAGTAGGTTAAAATATTAATATATATTCATGATTTCGGATAGTTCATAACATGAACTTACCTAAATTTTGTGTGATTAGATGAATTTAAATTTTTGAGTTAAGTAGCGTTTTACCTGGTCGGGAACCACGTGGCGGTGGAAGGGCTTGGGAGGTGGCTTCAACACCCACAAGAAAGGGAGCCCAGAATTGTTCAAGCCATGAGCAATTTCATCAACCTGTTGTTGCTTCAAATACACCACACTCCCAAACGAAACGTACACCACCGATCCCGGCGGCTTCGAATCCAGCCACTCCAAACACTCATCGGACTTCAAGCAATCTCCAGAGATCTTCTTCGTTTCAATCTCATGATCATCAGCGCATTCTTCGCCGCCCCACTTCATGAACAGCGGCCCCACCGTCCTGATC